GGCAACAGAATATGTTCAAAACATTTGCAAGTGAACAGCTGTTCTGTCGCTCAGACATGGGTCGACATTGAACATACCGATTGCGCGGGTGTCTTATGCTGGGTTCAAAGTGTTTGTTCTTATAAAAGTTAGGAGATTTGGTGAAAAGTGAATGGATCTGAGCCTATAAGTACAACCATGAACAGTATTGTTCATGCAATCAGCTTGCAACCATGGTAACACGCACATCTGAAGTGCATCGACCGTAGTGGGAACACGAAAGTGTGTGCCTTCTGTCTACGATAGACTGACTGAATGTGTACAAACCCTTTGAGGTACTTTGAATACAGCCACATAGTCGTCCTTGAACTGCTCGACTGAAGATTAATTGTACTGGTTTATTAATATAGAACTGCAATATTTCCCGTCCTTATTTATCATTCATGCATGTGTTTAACTTTTGCTCATAGTTTTTGGCCTTCACTCATGTTTTTCAGCTTTAGTATCAAATTCTATACTGATTACTTCAAAGGAGCGTCAAAAAAGCTAGGCTGAATTTTTATCCAACTACGAAGAATTTTTTGAAAACAGCCGAACGATCGACGGTGGGAAACAGCAGTTCAAACAATTTACGTTGACAAATATCACAAAACCTACGGAGTAGCATACGCCTCAATTGAAAACCGAGGCAGTGCATCGATCGATGTCTGTCCGCACATGCTACATACATATTCCAGGAGTAGGAGCCAAATTCAGCAAGGGAGATTACCGATGTAATGTATTGTTACTTTTATTACGGCCTAGCATTGAATGACCTTGATAGCATTTCGCGGACTCTATTTAAACTGATCTTGTGTCGTGTTTTGCTATGTGACATCGCAAATCTCAACCTAATGACTCGACTGCCCCAGAATATCCTTTCGTTCTGGGCAATCATACACCACATTCAGCTACATTTAAACCACTGAGGTCAAAACTAGTCTATCTCAATTTTTTTCGCAACTTAAAGGTCTTGTTTTGCGAGAGCGCTTTCAGTCAACGTTAGACAACTTTGCTTATTGACTGGGAAGTATTTCGAAATGCTGTATGGCAAGTACGCTCCAGAATTTGACTTCAGTGACCTTCGGGCACTTACACGTGTCTTCTCAATGGTGAGTGCTTCTTGAACTCACTGTTGGCTTCTTCTAATGGACTGAACAATGGGCGGTACAGCGCTAGTGAATCGAGTGCCGAAGCATGGGGTTAGTCGCATTAGCTCGAGCACGTATAGGCTCATTGTCAAAAATACATACAAGTACAGTATTTGTTTGATATTCCCCCAATTGATTAGTATGTTTTTCGAGGAAATCGTTGACACGAGATCAAGTCTATTGTGAATGACATTCTTAACCGAAATACCTGTCGTAATATTCGCTGGATTTTTTTCGACTATTTTGAAAACAACTATCCTGAACGGATAAAAGTACAGGTTAGTGTGTCGTGCCTTTGAGCTGATCGGTGAACACATTGATAGCCCGGAGTTTTACGGTCCTTCGGTTTACTGAGGTACAATTGTCGATCTTTTTGGGTTTATGTAAAGTAATTTGCCACGTAAGTATTCTCATAAGGATTAAACAATTTGATGAACGACGTCCTTCTCACTGTTTCACGACCATGTACATAAAATAAATATCGTAATTTCCCCCAAATTAGTCCTAGCCATCCTTATTCGGCTCATTCATGTCTGCCATCATGGTTTGAGCCGATCCAGAGATATATGAATGTTTACACAATTTTTTTCGGAACCCACAAAAGCGATAGAGTGTTGTACACTCGGATGACCACTTCTTCCACTGAAACGATCACCTGACCTTTCGCAGATCTCAAATGCCTAACAGGAACCCGGTACACGGTTAGGCCACATTCACATCATAACTTAACTGAACAAGGTGGCAAGCTACTGTGCTTGAGACAGACTCATTCCACTTTTCGACCATCCGGTGATGCTCGCAAATGTGACCACTTGTGCGATCAAACTTATTGATCTCAACAGACGTACAAATGAACACGGGTGGAAATGAAGTCACCTAACCCGAACGCGCATCCTTTAGCCGTGAAAACACTAGTCTTAATTGTGAACGCAATACATAGTTCTTTTGCACAGAAGGTCCCGTCAAGTGCGCCTGCTTTACTTTTTTCTAAATAGTTCTTTTACTATACATCCTTGTGCGATGAACGGCAGAAAAAAAGGAAACCCACAGTAAGTGTATCACATTCGAAATTCGATGTTGCGTAGACAGGTTGTTTTACTGACCTGACTTTTGTGATGTTTTTCCCCCCGGACAAATACTACTCGCATCCAGAAGTTCTCCTTCTAAGCTACTCTCACTATCAATCTTACAAACATTGTCCTTCTTAGCATTTTATCAGATTACGCTTTACGTACAAAACTTCGGGTAGATGTTCACTGTTCATGCCAGATTGTTTTTCTTCTGAACGCCGACAATTAGACTGAGAAGTGCTGAGTCATGGGCTACGTTCCCGTCTATCCGCATGTGGCGAGAGCCATCTGCGATTTTTTTGAATGTGGACAAGCCACTACATACACACGACGCGATGCGATAGACAATCACTGTACATGCGACCTGTGTGCTCTGGTTAGCACTGTTGTTCATTTGGTTAGACTGCTTTCATAATCCAGGTTTTAGGATACCAGTTGTCATCGCTGTTCTTTTACCACGTATCTTAGTGGGGTGATTAGTCAACAAGGCAAATTCCATGGTCACGAGGATCTTGTGTTCGTTTATGATGATCGGTAACCTTCACCCTGGTGCTTGGAGCGGTAAACTGCATAGGGCACTGGTAGGATGGACGTGGCATTGAGTCTTGGGAGGTATAAGCAGTTTGCTGTGGTTGGTGTAAGAAACACAGTACAAGCACACTAAGCTATCCTCCAAGCGATCTTAATGACACATGTGCATCCGTGGATCTCCACTTATCTTAATATTCCATCTGTGAACAGCAGGTCCTCGTGACTATGGGGCCTTCAGCGTTTGCTGTTCATCACATGCAAGTGTGTAATAAAAAATTTCTATGATTACGTTTGCTTCGCCAGGTTTATCGCACACTTTTCACCGACGATGTGTTTTTCAGTTTTAAAATATGTGCACTTTCCGTACATTTTGGATACGCTTTTTCCTTACTGTTGTGTTGCGTTATCTCCTCTTGTCCCCTGCATGGCATGAACCTAGAATTGAACATCTTATCTGAATATAGCCCTCATTCACTCAACTGGACAGATTTTCCCGTTTACCCATGAGTATGTCGAATAGTCCAGTCTGATCCTCTTCGCTAAATTACCCACATGAACAAGCTGGGCCCAAGTCAATGTTCCCATTTTTCGCTCGAAGTGCTTCTGTTTTTTCTCTCCTTGGATTTGCCTGTGCTCCACTCAATTCAGACCTGGGTGCCATTTCGGCTGGGAACACTAAAAACAATGTGGTTTTTAAAGCCGCGAAGAACTCTTGTATATCTGTTTCTCGCAAAATATCCGTATTCTCTCAGTCTACCTTTGGACTGGCATTCACTTCTTTAAATAGCTAATACATGGGATTTGCTGAACTTCCGTCGTGTGCGTCCAAAAAAATTTTCTAGTTTTCCACGCGAGGCGGTTTTTTGCCTCTTCCAACCCCCTCACTCTTGAAAAAAATAAGAATATGGCATTTCTGAGGTGGCGCCCCCTCTTCTTTGGCACATCTAGATTGTTTTCAGCCTAAGACCATTCATCATGTTGCTGATCTGTCCCTAACATCCGCTCCGCGCAGTCGCCTCCCTGTCCTTTTCAGTTGTTGCTGTCAAAGATTTTTCCTCCCCGGAGCTTACCGATCTGGTCAATTCTCCACTTTCATTTGTTCGTGAAACCCGTTCATAAGCGTTAAGTCACTCTCACTAGGTGACTTGAAAAATTTATCGAATGGCGGCGTGCAACTAATCTTTATTCCGATGATCGTTGACTTATGGAATACTCCTTACTCTGTCTTTTTACCTCTTGTTGAATCTTTCTTTATTGAAGCGCGAATCAACAAGTTTTGTTTTGAATGAATGTTTCCCATCTTTTCTGTTTGATGTTTAAACTTATCTCTCTACTGTGCATCATTCTTTTCACAGAATATGATGCATGCCCTTCACAATTTAGGCGGTCTCATCACTGCTCTATTCTCCCCTTGATGGCTTTCTTCATTATTGTCTGCCTCAGTCTTGTAAACTGACGGGTTCCTCACAGGTGCTCTCAAACGATAAAACAAACCGATCAAAACAAGTATAACATGAAGTATGACAGAATTATTCACGGTCGCTTTCTTAATCATTTTAGCCAATAGAAATTTTTGTTTACCTTATTACTTTCGTTTCATGCAAATCAGCAACGAATTTTTTATCTATTGATGCCTATACGCGCTTTGTTGCTTAAATTGTTAGATCCCCGCGCGCGCGCCAGAACGCAGACACATTTATTCGATGCGCTAAATTTTGATCGATGCTCGCATATCATTCACTGACATTTGAAACTGACATCTCAGTCTGAGATTTGTCTGCCTATCATCCGTTGTGATCAATCTTCTGCATCAATTAAAGTACTCACTGTTTAGTGTGCTGAGTTGCTGAGAATACGGTTAGTTGTCTGTTATCAAAGTGACGCGATTTCCTATTTGCTGTCCTTTTTATTCCAAGATCAGGTCGGTCTGATAAAGCCTCTAATAATGGTAGTAGTAATGAGCTTCGTTAATTTTTTTTTGTTTTCTTGAATATGTTAAGATACAATAAATTTCAGGATGGATACTGACTTGGGACTTAAAATCTAAAAAAATTCGACGGCGTTCGTGGGTCTCAAACACATGAACTCCGGGCGGCTGTGATGGTGGCAGCTTGATCACTGTCTTCTTATTTGATACTCGTGATTTTGGACATTACCAGTATTATCATTTTGTGCCATTTGCATCTGACAAGGTGATAAATTCTATGACCGTTCAATTAGAACTCACTCGATGTTCACTAGGCTATTGTGTGCCTGTGGCTTTGAGGAGTGTAGCCTGGTCGTCGAGGCCCGTTGTTTTTGTGCTTGGCTTGATGACTTATTCATATTGGTAACGTATTACTTAGTTCGCGATATAACCGGGATCACCTATCAGCTACAATGGATGAATACACAACTTCGGGTAAGTTTGGCCAGTCTGCCTCTGAAATCAGTCGTTTCAACCCATGCGAAGTTGTACTCTGTGATGATACTATCTAGTTACATCTGATTAACTGAGAAACGAAAAACCAATGAATTCGGCTATCCTGACAAAGCAATGTGTTACGCGAATTTCAACCACTGGGATGCAGTGCTTTTTGTTTATCCTATTTGTTCCACATCGAGTCGGTAACAACCCGGCAATCATCTTTTCACACGAGTTTACCACCGTGCTTGTGTGTTTGTGTTGTCTAGGCCTATCTGTATCTCTCGGCGTTTTTGTGTATTTGCGCGCGCGCGCGCGTTCACCGTGTGTTTGTGCATTGCCAAATCGCGTTTGCAATTTCCAAACAGTCGTAAATATGTCACTGCGGTCATCATTGCTGTTTCTCGTAAATCAACGCCATTGAAAAACGACCGCGAGCGCGCCTGCGCTCGCGCACACACACGAAATGGGAGTACTCAATTTTGTCACGTGATCCGGATCCTCACAGACCGATATAATACCGAGAGTAGACATTACTGTGTCAAAATCCATGGGTGGGACATTTGTTTTCTTGAAAACGCAGGAGTCCGTTTTCCAATCTTTTCCACGCATTGAATTAATACTTTTTACTCGATCAATACCGTTCATCGTCACAATCAAAATAGAAACTAAAAGAAGCGCAGACACGTTTTCCGTCTGACCAATTAGCATATCTGCTCTCTCCCTGCGTTCTGTGCTTAGGATGTAAGAGATTTTACTACCATGTAGGGTGCTGATCGGTTGGCCGAATTGAGGGGTGAGAGGATGTACATCCTTAAAAGTAGGCATAAATCATGCATTTAACAGGTGTTTGTTTTCACCCGTGACACTTGTTCCATTTCGTTAGGAGTGACGGAAAATAAACCGGTACAGGTCCAACATGAACTTAGTTCAACCGATTTCGAGAGAATCACGGCGTCGTTTTTATTGCTTCTGTGTGACTGATGCTACATGTACGTACGATATGCCTTTCCAGATTTTCCCAACATACCTTTAGTCCAATCTTGCGGTCGAAGCATTTGATGGAGATTTTATTAATTGTTATTTGACCTTCGAACTGCACTTTGTTTTTGATCTTCAGTTTTGATTATAGCGCTGTCTCTATGAATAAGTAGAAATATTAGTGTTTTCATTTCCTTCTTTTTATTAAATATACGGTCATAACTGTCAGCGAAAGGGTTATAGTTAATCATAGACTGTCAAGGGCTAGACAGAAATGAGTAAGATAGATGGCTCTGACGGGACTGAAGCTCGGCCCCCGCTATGATATTCTTAACCACTTGAACGCCGGTCAATCTAAATACCTCGGTTGTCCCGTAGTTTGCATACTCAGTTGGTTCTGCAATGTACCACATCACTAAATCTCCCTCACACGATTGCACGTGCGCTCTTCTCTCTTTTAGCATCCAAACCATGCCGATCAATGGCTCAGTTGCGTTTCACACACGTGTCGGGAAGAATGTCCAGTGTTTTCATTCTGTCAAAACATTTGATCCAAATCCGAGCGTTTTTCACTGACTCCAGGGTTAGTGAACTTGCATAACAAATCTGTCTTTCTCGAAGTTGGCGAGTTACTTCTGAGTTCATTTCTCAGTGATTCTACTTAATCTGACAGAGGAAACAAACGGAGTTGAGACCACCAATGGAATGTGCTGGATGAAGAGGACAAAGCTCTAAATGAACAACGGACCCGAATGAGGCTCTTTTCAAAACAAGATCTAAATAATAATAATTACAATAATGCATTCATATTCGCAAATCGATCCTCTTAATACGTCGTTTGCATCTTCTCGTTCATCACCATATAGAATGTGGGTAATATGTGCATACTTACCCCCAAAGTACCATGGGCTGACTATTCTGTTATCATCAGAATTTTTGGTTCGATGTTTTCGGGATCTTACAACTTCAACGATTTCAGTAGTTAGAACCCATCTCTTCCACCTCTAGCCTGTCATTTCTTTCGAAACGGGAAACACCTCCGGGCTATGTCCATATAAGCAGTAAGACGTGTCAATTCAATATGAAGAGATTTTCTTGCATGACCAATTATGGTTTTTATGGTTCTGATTGCTCATCTCTTACCATCTCCCATTCACTTCACCCAACCTTAGATCCAAGGCTCTGGCAACGCAAAGCGGTCAAGATCTTCTACTTTGGTGTCAGCAGGTGACCAAAGATTATCCCAATGTGAAGATCACTGACCTGACTTCCTCATTCCGATCCGGTTTGGCTTTCTGTGCCATTCTACACCACTTCTTTCCTGATCAGCTGTAAGTGTCTTAATGTTATTACCATAGGTATTTTTAAATATTGTCGGTAATAATTATTCTTGTTGTTGAAACTGCACAGGATTTTCTCGATACTCGATTCTCACAGGATCATCTTCCGGTAATGTTTCTGGTCCAGATAGGAACTCCACAGGTAGTGAAGTAGAACACAGATGAAAACGTGCTTGAATTCATTTATTATGCAAAAATCACGGTTATATCTAGGAAAGGGCGGGGACGGGGGAATGTGTAGATCAAACGATTGGTTGACCGGATTGTTATCAACCGTCTTGGTTGGGTAGCAGTTCCGACCAATCCCCTGAATTCACCTATCGTTTTTCTTATTGGTTGTATCAGAACAAAGCAGTTTTCAGGTAGCATGCTGTATCCTTGACACTTACCACTGAATTCAACTGTCTTGCCATCCGCCGTAAGTTAATCTGACTCAGTCCGTTAGTCGCTAACCCAGGTTTTATTTCGCTCCAGTTGCGCAAGCCGCCGTATTCAGAGGCCCAGTTTTTCCTTAATGGTGATTTCATTCTATTTGCCATCGAACTGGTTGAATGGGGCTTGTGAACAGTGCCTATGCTCGAAATGATCGCTCACTGAAGTGTTTTCGCCCCACGAATTCATCCTTTTCAAAGCAAAGTAGCTATCTATGTCATGTGTAACGTTTATTTTTTACGAATGATCTCAACAGAACCCTTGCTGTTATTCTCTTATTCATATTTGTTTTCCTTTGGCTTAGGCTTTCAGAGAGGACTTGTAAATTGTTTCAGAGAACAGAACGACATTTTTGTGAGTGAACAGCACAGCGTCGCGGGCGTGTAACGGAATGCAGCAGATTGCCAGCCAGTTTTCTGCCCAGTAGGAGCCTAATACCGATTTTCTCACTCGATTGGAATTTTCATCTGTACTGTTAACGGTAGTGTGAACTATAGAGAAATAATTCATGGTGAATGTCACTTTCAGTGGTTGATTAGGATAGGGAAATCACTCTGTACCTGCACGGACCGATCAACAGCATAGACTCATACCTTCAGGGATAAGCAGCTGTCACGGAGACTGCGTAGATGTGTCCATTTGGTAAAAACCCCTTCCGCTCTTGCTGACACTTATTCTGCGAATCATTCGCCAGAATGAACTAGCTGCTTTACCAGTTACATTAAGATCGAGACTGGTACCGATCCCATTTTGCATTATGGACATGCAACATACATGCCAAGCATAGATATAGATCCGTCCAAGAAACTTTGAAACTCTCATTGAACTTCACTAAGCACTGCAGTGTGGTCTGAATAGTGTAGAGAACAGTCTACCACCTAATATCATATCGGTGCCACTTTTCTTCTCGCACTAAGATAAAGCTCTGTCCAGAACCTTCTGCAATCTGGTGCACTGGGGTAAACCGTGGACTGGAACGCGGATCTTAAGATGCGCTGCACTAAAGTACTGTGCTATTGACGGAGTTGGAGGCTTCTTTCAGATATAGGGAGGTTGCAATTTATAGTTTTATAACTTGTGAATGGTCAAACTACTCCCAGTGCATCTTGGTCTAGACGTAACCTGGTTCTCTCCCATATATTGTTCGGGTGAGGCCAATACTCGATGGAATATCGTCTCTGATAGAAACTTTGTGGTTATTCTGATAAAACATGCTCTTATTTTGACTGAAGGATCTGTATGATTTCTTATTTATCAGTAAGATAAACATTTCATCTCGATCAGCCTTGTGGAGTATTTAGTTTGAAAGTCGTCTTTGCTTCATACACGAAACAGTTACTTGTGTAGTATGGTCGCATGAAGCATGACCTTTTCTCTTTGAGCATGTCTTTACGATTGGTTCACATTTGCCAGTGTCTGTTGGCGAACCGGAACTTCAGTAAGAATCACTCGGTTCAGTGGGGCTGCAGGTTTCATTTTGACAAGTATAATCTCATTCAAGATATCTCAAATCCCTGCTTCAAAGACGGATCCAACATCCAGTTCCGTAAATTCCACCTCTGGATCACGATCCAAGTAGTATCGTGATGCAATTTGATTTTATACATTTACAGAGGAACATGCTGCTTCGCGTTTTGTTCCTATACCAAACATCATCAATATTCCGAATCGGTTCGATTCTTCTCTCCCTCTTTCTGCTCTGTCTCCGTTTTTAAGATGAATCTTCCTTGAATAGGATAAGTAGTTCACCCGCCACCGTGTCGTAAAGAATCTCAGTTTCGGTTGGACGACCTGAGGTCCGCGTATAGACAGTTCCGTCCTTGTCAAAAGGTGCCTAGATCTGTGCCGCTGTCCACATTCTCACTCTGCGGTATGCATACGCTGTTATTTACTGTTGAGATCATGTATGTTTCCGTTGAATTTTTGACGTGGGATGCTCTCAAACATTGTGGAGCTAAGTTTGCTTGCTTTCCTCGTTATTGCCCTTTGTGCACAAGTTTTTCAATTCTACGTTTGATTTTATCAATTGATACTTCCTTTCTGCTGATCCATGACTAATTTTTTCTCATTCACTTTCGTACCGTAGTGACTTTTCTCAACTGTCTAATAATAGTCCGATTGAGAATTGTCGACTTGCATTCAATGTCGCTGCCAAGCTGGGAATTCCGAGGGTGCTAGATCCGGGTGAGGTCACATCCGCAAATCGGGCACCGGATCTGTTGAGCATGATGACTTATTTGCATCAATTGCGTACACACTGTTGCGGTCGTTCGCCGGGTCTGACCGATCCTTCGGTGGTAGATTCCGTGCCTACGCAACGAATAAACTCCATTAATCCGGTTGATGGGTCCAACACAAAATCGTCCCAAGAGTCACAATCTGCAGAATCGCCTGCATCAACACAACAGCCGAACTCGAAGTGAGTCACTCAATGGATTTTGAACGTATGCATATTTTCGTCGAGGTATGTCCCTGATTGAAGTAATTTCAACTGAAATTCTACAATTATTACCCGATTGTAAACTCGGATTCAGTTAATAGCCATGATATTCGCAAACGGGCAATAACTTTTTGCTGGTTGTGGGACATTTCATTACTATGACGATTTATTATGCGTATCATGCGTGTCAAATCATTTTCATCTCTGAAGCGCGGATGTGGGTGATACTTGAATAGAATCGGTGTTGAGCGATGACACAGTCCACTTTCATCTAACCACTCCATCAGTAAATGGATTTTCAAGGGAGCGTGGCTTCAATGTCCGTTCTACTTTATTTCCTCGCGAGGCTCAACAAATTCTCATACATTCTGCGATGAATCGAATGGTAAAAGTTTGCCAAACGAAGTTCGCCGGTCACTGCCAAGCCCAATGTACGTACAAAGTAAATACGCATACGTATTAGTGAACGGACGAGAGTGGCTGAGTGAACCAGTCTGAGAACATGGAGATAGAATGAACGGTTGTAACCGACGCGTGCAAGCAGACCGTCATAGATTAGCCATTGTGATTGTGCTTCAACACCCGAAACAATTAGCCTTGTTTAGAAGTGTTAACAACAGCAACAACGCAGTTCTTGCCGTTGTTTTATGATTATGCTCGTTAAGTTCTCGAGTCAGCTGATTACGTGCTCATTTTGAACGCCAGTCTGACTGAGAAAACGCCATGATTAATTGTTTTTCTCTGTTGACAGGCATTATATTGCTCTATTTCATAGCACAAAACCCTTTGTGACATAGAAGTTGATCCATCACTTATTGCTACCGGCAAGCAATGCGTGATTTAGGATGTCCAAGTCGAGCTCGAACCGCAAATCGTGGGGATGGAAGCCCAAACCCTCACNACCCTCACGAATTTATCGATTCGATAACTGCACCCTGAATTAATTTTTTTTGGCTCTCGAGAAGTTACGTTTATAATTATAATTATAATTATAATTACCCAGTAGATTTTATTAAACAAGTTAGAAAAACTGTTAGAATACCCCAAATTTTCGTGATATGTCCAAAATTGTTCGGGTTTGGGTTATCGGTGTTAACACGGAGCTCAAACAACCCGTCAGGTCACGCACGCATCCGAGCCAGACCACACGCACGCTCGCAACGCTCCAGACAAGCTGAGCAACAGTCCGATCCAATGAGAGTACGAGTGGAGGAAAATAAGAGGGTCGTCCTTCTCTA